TGTCTCGAGGCAGCGGGTGTATGAACACTTGAGCTTTATGGTTGGGTGAGGCTGTGTAGTGTGGCATCCCTGAGGTGGCGTGTGTCCATGCGCTTGTTCACGTGTCTGTGTGTGCGTGTGTGGGGGCTTCTGCACAAGAGTGTGTGTGTGTACGTGCCCACGTGTGTTCATGGAGTGGATTTGTGCAGGTGAGTGTGTACCTGTTTAATGGATGTGTGTGCTTACATGCTTGGGTGAGTATATTTGTGAAAGCACTTGAGTCTGCGCTTACTTGTGTAAGCATGCAGGTGTGCATGTGACTGCAAGTTGAAGTGTTGTGTATATGGATGAGTATTTTCCACTTGTAATTTTCTGTGTTTCATATCATTTCATAGAATTTAAGAGTAGGGAATAGATAGTCTGTCTGTGAGAGTGCTGTCCATGCAGGTGCATGAATCCATTGCTATACACGAGCTTATATATGGAGAACTATGGGTTTGTATGTATGTATGCACAGGTGCATATCAGATTCCCACAAGTGTATGATTATTTGGATATTTTCATGTTTATATGTGTACAAAGGATTGTGTTAAAATATTGAATGTGTATATGCAAAGATCGTGCTTATTTGAATGGCTGTTTGGCAGAGTATCTCAGTGTGCATCCGTGTCTGTTTTCACATGCAAATTTGTCAGTGGAAGCAATTTTGGTTGTAATAGGTACTGTAAGTGGTGTAGTGTTTGCACATAGTTGATGGAGTGTGGATAACAAATCGCTTTGTATCATGGGTAGAGAACGTTACCTGTTTTTATCAGTATAATGCTGATTGTATTACTGTGAAAATGCTATATGAACGATTTGTGAAAAGGTATAGATAAATGTAAAATGTATTTTCACATTTGTCACATGCCTGTCTCATTCAGCTGTTGTGTCAGATTAACATGAGTATTTGTGTATTTGAACAGAGTGGCATGTGCCTATTCTGCAGTATTTTCATCTGAGAATATATGATGTTGTTTTTAGTTGGGACATGTGTGTATGCTGGTGGGAATTTAGCCCATCGTGCTATATATTTTGTAGATCTGGTCTTGCGGTGGAGAGAGTGTTATGATTGCTCAGTGATGGTAGCTGACAACAAAAGAAACGATCTTTTGTGAATACTTCCTACTAATATGGTATATTTTGATGTCAGTCAGGTATCAGTTTCCTATAGTTTGGATAGCAAGCATCATCTCCCCAGAGGTTTTAAAGGATTAAATTCATTGCGGTATACGAATGACTCTCTCATTACCTGGTTTAAATGATTTGAAGAAAGTCTATTTTTTATTCCTTAATAATATTTTCAGATGAAGAGTGAAATGAGCATCAGGGCAAGAATTCTCACATTCGCCACTATGCTTCAACCTTTACTGTGAAGGGAGCAACTCCAGGGGGAACGACAGAATAGTTCAACCTCTGGACCTCTGTGCTGTGTGAACTGTCAGGTAACAGTGCCAGTGGAGCTGATGCTCGTGTTTCCTTTTCCCCGCAAGAAAGACTACCATCTTCTTAACCAGGAACTTCAGAAACCTCCACTCATGTGGCTGATCTAGTGATACAGTTATTCTTCAGCCAAGCTTCATCTGGAAGCTGAAGTGAACTTCATCTTAGTGTATAACATAATTGAGATGGTTTTCTGGCCCAGTTCCTAGCTTAATATCTATTTAAAAAAAAAAAAAGCAAGCAAAAAAGATGAAGGATGTGTTTTCTTAATGACAGAATGATGGAAGCACCAGAACTTGATAGTGTGGGAGATTAGTTGTGGGACATTGGTAAGTCATTGGTTTGTATATATCCCAAAGAGAGACTCTGATTTGATGTCAGTTTGATTCAAGTTCTTTTATCATTATTCTTTTGAAATGCACCACTGTTACAGCAGCTGTCTTCCCATACGAGATCCTTGTAGCCATTCTTAACAGAGCAATATGAGTTTGAGCGGTGCTTGAGGCCAAAAAGTTCTGATGACCCTAACAGATTTAGAAGCTGGATTTTATTCTGCTTCCTGTGGTATGTTGGTTCTGTAAATAATTTGTGTAGTGCTCCACAAAATTCTGATGTGAAATGGGTGTTAGCTGCCATTGTTGCAGTGGCCTCAGTGAAACTAATTTTTGTGGGAATTAGAAGACAGTACTATGTTGAAAAAATACCATGTATGATTCAGTTCTGCATGCCACAGATAGGCATTATTCTCCTTTAGAAATTGTAGATGTGCTTCATATTTTGCTGTCTTTCATATAATCATAGGGAAATGGCAGGCAAGAAGAAAGAAATCCAGCTTCAGGTATAAATCTTAATTACTCGAACAATTCTATAGATGAATAGAATTTTTTGCCTTTTAAGATGTTAAAATGTCAATCCATTTCATTTCAGGCCTTGGTAACCAATCAAAGCCAATGGGATGAAATGTTGCTGACAAAGGGTGTATTAGGTACCAACTATTATTATTTTCTTGTTAATCTCAAATGGTGACATGTACTGTATGTGTTATTTTAAGGTTTACTCTTGTGAGCATTTCTTCCTACTAAGACAGTCTTCACTGTTGTAATGTGGTAAATAAACAACAAGTGCTGTGGTTCTTCTGTGAGTAAAGAATTGTAAAAACCTGCATAGAGCCTATGCACTGAATAAGGAATATGCTCTGCGCACCTAATCTGCTGCAGTGACAAGCTTGATGCGAGAGGTCAAGAGAGTAGTGAGTGGCACAGTCCCCTCATCAGGGCCGTTGGGTCCTGTCTCCAGGTATCATCAAGTGAGAACAGTGGTCACAACAGTTTAAATACAGGTATAGTGTGTGAAGACTTGGGCAGTTTCGAATGAACATCTCTTATATATTGGCAAAACTTTGGATTTTTTGTTGAACCACTCCACAGTCTCTATACCATGCTTGTAGCTATGTCTGTAGCTATTGTTTGTAAATGTTACAGGTAACGGGGAGTTTTTGGTAAAATGATTCATGTAAACTCATTGCAGGTGGTCCCATAGTAAACAAACATACAACTCTGTTATTTGCAGTAGACTTTTATTAGAGAGTTAAGTGGTCTAATTATGTGTAAGATAATGAAACATTTGCAGTATCTCCCTGCTTATGTTTGCAACATAGTTTCTCAATACTTGTCATAAATCGTATGATAGATACTTATTGTACTTCTATAATAAATACTGTTGCAATATTATCTGTTAAATAATGTTGTATTTATGAATGTTTATGTTGTGTTTAGAGAAAGAAATATGGTATTACCTATGATAAATAGATACTTGTTGCAAATCGTATGATCTAGTACTTTATCCACTTTTGCATACTGATGTTTAGAAAATACTATTCCAGTATGGTATTCTGTATGGGAGGGGATAGGGAATAACTTTCACAGAAGTGGCCTAAAATCTAGTGCAGACCGAATTGGTACTGTACAGATATGCTTAGCAGTTATCAATCGCCATTCTTGAAAGTGCACGTTCTACAGCGTGCATTTCCTCCACAGTTTTCAGTTCATTGAGACACTCTTGTTTATGCCATTAGCAACATCTCCGATGTCTCCTAGGAATGGTATTTTGGGTAGAGGGAACAAATATGTAATGGGGTCCTATGTACAGAGGAGCAGTAATAGGAAAGAAATGGTCTGTATGGCCTCAGAGAGACTAAAAAACCTGTAAAATAAAGATGTAGAATGAAAACCAAGAGTGGGAATAGAAAAAGAACAATAAAAAGGAAAAGGAAAGTAGTAGAGAAATGTAGTTGTTCAGATTCATTGTCTCAAATAGCATTGCAAAGTAGATTACTGTTGTTGAAAGTAATTGAAATAAAAGGTACATATGATATTACAGTAGATACTTTTGTTTCACAGACTAAGTTCCTCTCCGATAGAAGGATTAAATTGGAAGTATATATTGTATTTAAAGTAGATAAACTTGTTTCACAGACTCAATTCCTCCCAAATGTTGATCCAGCTTATTCTTTCTCATTGTTTTGAAAAATTTCCATGATATATTCACTGACTAGAAGAGGATTGAAAGATGTGTGGTAATGCCTTCCCAGGGCTGTTCCTCATATGTTCCACTATTCCACTCATATATGTGTTTCATTTTACAAGTTCCGTGTCAGCTATGTCTAATTACAAAATATTATATTTTAAGTAATAGATGTGTATCAAGCTTGGTGTGGTCCTTGCAAAGCTGTGGTAAATTTATTCAGAAAACTGAAGAATGAGTTTAGTGAAGACGATCTGTTGCATTTTGCCGTGGTAAGGATGTAAATTCTGTATGAAACTTCAGTTATATTTTCAAATGTATCTTTTTATCCATCTGCATATATGGAGCTTTTGTTTTACTGTCCTTTTACCAATTAGGTCATAATCTTGGCTTGGTTACCTCTTCTGCATGTCTCCTTATAAGACTTAATTTAGAGGTAGATTAGAAATAGGAGTAAAATATGGAAGGAACTATAATATCGAGAGAGGCAATATTCTGTAACTTTTATATTCCTTGATGAGAATTGCAGAAACTTTTGAAAGCCAGGCTATATGTTTCTTAAATATTAATGCTGTACATTATTGATTATCCCATTTAAAATTCTTACATCTCTGGAAACTATTGCTATACTTTTTCTCCAAATATTTCCTTGTATTTTATATTTAAAAGAGCAAAAATTAATTGAAAAATAAATGCTTTCAAAATTACGGTAATAAAAATGTTTCACTACACTAGAAGGATAAACTAGGAGATACATGTCATATTTAAAGTAGATACTTTTGTTTCACAGACTAAGTTCCTCTCCAGTAGAAGGATTAAATTGGAGGTATATATTGTATTTAGAGTAGATAAATTTGTTTCATAGACTTAGTTCCTCCTAAATGTTGATCAAGCTTATTCTTTCTCATTTTATTTAAAAATTCCTGTTTTTTTGATCAAAGCATTCCTGAAGTTGTGCAGATTCTGTATTTGTCATAAATGCATAGAAGAGTGACCAGGTATATTCAGAGGTGATTTTAATGCTTTTATAGAGTTAACTGTATATTACAAAGAGCTTTATACGACGGGTCGTTTCTTCTGACAAGACTGCATGGACTAGTTCCTCCTTTATTTATCATAACCTACATAGAAAAACAGGATAATATATTTGTAATGCAACTAACTTCTGTAAAATGAAGGGAGGCCAGTCCCATGTTACAAAACCAATCCTTCATTAACCACCAGCAAGCGCCATAAGGACTGCTAACTGTAAGTAAGAATATGTTTTGAGTATGTTAGACTGCAATGTATAACACTGTAGTTTCTTGTTTGGCAAAAAGTTTTTTTTAATATATATCTATATATATACATACACGTACATACATACATACATATATACACCTATATAGGTAAATAATCATCTTCATCTGACTACAGGCAGAGGCTGACAGCATTGCAACTCTGCAACCATTTAGGAATAAATGTGAACCTGTGTTTCTCTTTTGTGTTGTAAGTACTCACTTCAGTTTCTATTAGTGTACTGTGTATTTTCGTGTTAATTTTTCAGTAGATTAAAAACAAATATGAAGCTATGTAGGTTGTACTTTAAATGTTACAATACGTAGGATTGTACCATTAGACATTGTTTAGCTGCGACTGTTGTTTTCCACAGCCTAAATCTGTGGTTCTCCAACACGTTTTTATTGTGGCTGCATGTACAGCCGCAGCAGATTTGTGGTAGCCACAGTTCTGGTAGTTTGTGAGAAATCAGAGTAAATTTTTCCAGGGTTGCCTCACATAAAGTTCCAAGTGTCTACGTGCGGCTACTCTGAAATCGTTATTCTGTATTCACTTTCCCCTAAGAAAATAGAGTTTACATTTCCTGCCGTGTCAGGTTTTCTAAGATAAGCAAATAAGATTGCATTTTTTACACCTCAGCAATAAATCACATGTTTATTATATTTCATTGATGGGTATAGACAGATTCTGTTCCTAGGACTCTACTTTAGAACACTGTTATCCTTGTAAGCATTGTTCAACTTGGAAGTGTTAGATTCCAGCAATTCGGGGCCAAGAACAAAGGTACTTCAAGGAGACTTTCAGGTTTGAATATGAGTGCTACGAAGTGATACTAATAGAGCAGTACCATTGGTGATCAAAGATGGTATGTGGTAGAGCAGGCACTGAAGCACAGTGCTGACAGTAGTGAAAGCAAGAGTGGGGAAAGGGAGGACCAGAACCACGGGAGGAGGAAATCCGTGGTGGTGTGTCAATTTCAGCTGGTGATGTTCTGTACTGAAAAGATGGCAAACTCCATGTTACAGAAATTAAGAGCTGATAAATTCTGCATTTGCATTTACTTCTGACTTTACTATTAATGTTGAGGCTAGAAATAGATATGAAAATTAGGTAGAAAAAGAAGAAAGGAAATAAAAGCAAGAAAGGTTCATTCTGAACCAGCAGAGGCAGTGGTAGCTTTGGTTTTGACTTTAGTGGGCACAGGAAGTGATTCTGTTAGCAGAAAAATAGCAAAATAGCATATTCTAAAACTCAAATAAATGAGTAGAGGTTACTGAGAGTGTTATTTTCTCCTTTACAGAATGGAAAAATAATTGCAATAGTGAGAGGTGCAAATGCTCCTCTTATAAGTAAGAAAATAACAGAGCTAGTAGAAGAAGAGAGGAAAATTGTGGCTGGAGAGAAAGAACGTCCTGAGGTAGTCACAAAATAAATATTTAAATATATATGAGTATTTTTGTTACACTTGCATGTTTTTTCTCAATCCCTGTGATGGTATTTTCTGTAATGTAATGTTTACTTTTTTGTAGCTGTTTTCATCATAAAGTGAAACATATGAGGATTTTCTTACAGAACTTTCCATTAAATGATACTTTATGTTGGTTGTTTTAGAAACTTGAAAAATTTACAGATTAGTCTATTAATGCAAGAAATGGAGAGATGGTTTGCTAACAAAATGCCGTGGCATATAAACCCCTTTTAGTCATTACCTTTTTTATGTTTTAGCACTGAAAATTTTTCATGTATATTTTAGTAAAAATTCACCTCACAAAACAAATGAAGACATGGGAAATAGTCATGCCTCATTGCTTTGATCTCTATTTCAGTCAAAACAAGAACTCCACTTTAAGTATAAAGGAAATTTTCAACAAACTGCAGCTCAATTAAGGAAAATTAGGCTACCTTAAGGTCTTTCTTAGAACTGCTGGCTTCCCTGTGTAGCGAAGGTATTATTACATTAAGCTAATACTGTTGTGAGGATCTGGAAGCTGAGTTTCATGACTTGAGACAAATGTTTTTTTTCTTTTTTCCACAATACTGGCACCAATCCTTTTGTTACAAAGCCTACTCAGATTTTTGAGATTAAATGTAGTGGTGAGTTGCTAGCATTATTATTTTATAGTCTGCTTGTCAAAGAAATAGGATAGAAATATTTGGCATCTAGAGTATATTTAATGTGATGTGGGAGTTTCTTATATTGTGAGGCATTTAAAAAAAAGGACTTTTTCATTTTCTGTACGTAATTGTTACTGGAAATGATGACAAACCCAGATACGTATTGACTACTAATGACAATACCTCTGCATTTTGAAAGTTACAAAATGATCTAATGCGTTAGGTTTACTTTTTTGCCCCTGCATGACAGAATTACTTCTTCTGAATTTAGTGTTCTGTACCTGTGCAGTTCCTTCAGCTACAGTCTGTATCTTTTGCAAACCACTAATCGCAGCATGACAGTTGTCTATTTCTTTTGAGTTATTGAAGTGTGAGTGACTGTAATTTCTTCCAGAATAATATTTTACTCAGTAAAGACGTCTTGGAATGCAGTACAGCCTGATGGCTTCTGCTTCCGGTCTTGGTAACTGGTGCTGGTTTTTGAAATACTTAATGTGAAGTTTAGTCTTATTCTAAGTTTCCAGTGATTTCTAGTCTTACTCTGCTTCAGTGCACTATTGATCCAGTAACATGAGTTCCTCTCTCAGCTATGAAATGATCTCCAAAATTGTCTGTGACACAGAAGAAAATAGCTGTGGCCTTCTACACCTACACGACTGAAAATTTTTGTGCTTAAAACATGAAAAGCACTAAAATATCCCATATAAATAATTTTTTTTATCCCAGTGAGTTTTTTCCTATTATTTTTCTCTGAATTCCACATCGTCAGCAGATCAATAGCTGAATATCTACAGCTGAGGAGGAAACTTGAAACAAATAAATAGTAGATATTGCTAAGTCATGTCTATATTACATATGGTTTATAATATATAGAAAGAGAAATAGAACACATTTATTAAATGCTTTCAAGTTTCCTAAGTACTGGGATAAGAAGTGTATTCTAGACTGACACATTTTCATGACAGCAGATATTTAAATCTGTAGTAAGTCTACATATTTACATACTAAATATATATATATATATGTACACACAACACATACTGAGAAGGAGAAGGAAAAAAAGAAAAAATGATCTACAATTATTTTCAAGTCCTTTTGCAGACTTGATCTCTCACTAGAGCAGTCTTGACTTGGTTTTATTGTAAGGTAGATATTCTTAAGTTTATTAGGGTAATCAGTCTTTTTTTTTTTTTTTTAACCATGGTGTACGTGTCTGTCTGGAATGGTAAGGCGTTAGCCACCATTTTAAAAGGAAGTGGCTAAAGCATAGGGCAAAGATTCGTATTTATGTATCTAAAATTACTGTCTTTAGAAAGTACCACATAGATCCCATTCATATATCTGAAAATCATGTTCTTTATTTTCTTTTTAAATAACTGTGGGAATCAAACTGAGAAGCAGCGAAGTATGACAGTTGAAAAATTCTGTAGAGCAGTTTTAAAATGTAGCATTTTTGATGTTTCAGCAAATGTGTTTTTTCCATAAAATCTGCAAAAACTTAGAGGCAGGAGGAGCAGACATCTTAAATACATGGGTAGATATTTTCTGTCTCACCAAGTTCAGGTTGCATGGAGGTTTTTGGAAGAGGCACAGGAAAAAAGGGGAGAAAATTCCTTTCCCAGTATTACTCAGTAGGCCCATAGTGGAACAGTACTAGATCAGAACTCCTCTCTGCCTCTGTATTAACTTCAGAGTGATGGCATACTTATTGGTATTCTTATTATATTTGGAATTACCCTAGGTAGAAGAGCTTATTTTCCCAGAAGAGAAATTGTCAGAAGATGCTATTAAGGAGACTGTACCTGAGGGTAAATATACTTGATTTATTTTAATAATGTTAACAGAAAGAAAAGAACAAATATCTTTTTAGTTATTTGATTAAGAATTGTTCATGTCCAGCTCCAGTAGACCTTCTTTTGATTCAGTTAATACCATGACAGGTTGATGGAATCAAACTGAGGGGAAGTTTTTTTTCTTCAAGGAATAAAATACTTGACTGTCATCATTAGTGTTTTCAGCACCCTTTGGGGACCTTCAGAATTGAGGTATTCTTACAACTCTCCTGCTATGTTCCAGGGAATTCTCCTATGTAAAACTAGCAGTAGTCACTTCTACACGGCCCTGTTTTAGCTATGTACTGTTGTTGAAGTGATGCTGGTTAGCCTTTGAATGTTCTGCAGAAAAACTAAGATGGTGGGCAACCTGTGAGGATTAAAGGTATAAATCTATGAAGGAATGGCATGCCTTGTACATCAGATTATTTTAATTAACTATGTCACCAGATAAGATTTAAGAACTAAAGAACAGGCCTAAATAAAGCATAAGTTCACAGTAGTAGGAGAAAGTTCCAAAAAGATTGAAAAATATACAGCCTTCTGCTTATGAGGCTGGCTTCTATGATTCATTTCAGGCTTGGTATGAACTGGGACTTGCATCTTTTCTATTCTTATTGTTATCTATGGCTACTGACGCTTTCTGAAGTTACTGCTTCATAAAAGCATAGAATGTAATTTTGCAAGGTTGAGATGGCATTAACTCTCTTTTTCTTTACCTTCTCTTTTTTTCCTATGTTAAGACACGAGATGATTGCCAGGGATTAAGTCATGTCCTTTCTCCTTCCTCTTCATGTCTTCTTTATTGTGTAGTTCAAGTGGCACGTTCCTGACTTCAGCTTTAATCTATTTTTTTCTTATAAACCCTCTGAGACCTAGTAATACAGTATGATAAATGTTTTAGCAGTTGTGTACAGACTTCTCACTAAACTACAAAATCTAAATGTTTTACAATATCACAAAATTTGGGAGCAGTTTTTTCATCTCGCGTGACCTCTCCATGCGTCCTGCTAGGTTAGAGAATTCTTAAGAAACCATACTGCACTAACACTTTGTAGTAATATATTCCTTACCACATTCAGGTGCTTGTGAATGTTGTCTACTATTGGAAGCAGGTAGTAGTTTTGTGTTTACATTAGAGCTATTATTAAGTGCTTCTTTAGTGTCTGAGATCTGATTGAATTACATTCTAACACTTAACCATAAACCTCAGATTATGTAGGAAAAGACATATATTGATTAATTTTTCTCTAACCACTTTCTGCCATTTTGCAGAGATCTGTACATTACAGATATTGTAATAGTATGTCTGTGACTGGGAACACCTCTTATTTCAATCTTGTTTTAAATGTTAGATGGTGTTAGCAAGCATATGTTACTTCAGAAGTTATAAGTGGTTTCAGGATCCACAAAGCTACGCAAAAAATATATCTGCTATGACAACAAATGTCTATTTTACTGGAAATCTCTTAATATTCATACAAAATTTCACTTGGTAAATTTTCCTTAATAATAATCGTTCCTTTCACATTTCCAGTCCTGTACAAAGAAGGCTTCCCAGAGAAAGCATTATCTTAAATTGTGACTTTTTCCACCACACCTGCCTACATGGGAACCATTTCTTCACCGTATGACCCAAAACACCAGTGGTTCACCAGGACCATAGATTCCAGGGATGGCCAAGGATTGTTCTGCTCTCCAAGACATACTTTAAGTGCTTGAGTCACTTATTTTTTGGAACTGCTGTTTGGCCATCCTAGTAGTAAAACGGAGAAGTATTGAGAGAAACCCATTTATAAGTAACGAAACATTTCGTTGTGTACGTACTTCAATAAATATATTTTACAACACAACTTTTTTTTCCTTTTCCAACAGAAGGAGTCAGGTATTCTGTTGCAATTATAAGACCTGATGCTGTCTTAGAGGGACGTGTAGAAGAAATTAAACAGAAGGTGACAAAACTTGATTCTTTCATCCTGTTTAGTTAAGTGGCATTGTAGTAACGTGGAAGGTGAAATAGATCCTAATTTAAACACAGATATTATAAGAGACCTGTAAATGCTTCTCTCCTAAGTGTGACAAAAGTAAGCAGGTTTTGACCTGAAATAATGCAGTATTGAGATTGACGCTAATCCTTTAACGTTTTATGTCAATAGATGAGGTATGGCATTGATTTGTACTGTGGAGATTCCTGACGCATGAAATTTACAGACAGAAAAGTCTTTTTTTTTTCTTCTCATCATGCTGCACTGGAGATGAGAACTAGAAACCCTGGGGTGGTGAAGTTAATTCATTCAGCTGTAGAGGGTATCTTTTTTGACAAACTAGCATCTTTAAGAATTCTAGGCACACAAAAATGACTAACCAGTTCTTTGCGGAATAGTATGTGTGTGTGTATTTATGCTGGTATATGTGCACACGCACATGATTTAATATACGTTTGTAGATGGAGAAGGCAATTCATGTGTGCTACTAAAGTGCAATCAGAGACTATGCAGTATTAACAATCTCAGTGCACAGAAGGATTCGGCACTTGTTTAAGCCATTACACAGAAATCATCTCTACTTCTAGAATATAATACTATAGTAATGCTCATTTCAGTTATAGGAATTTCTCACTATTCCTGATACAGAAAAAGGTCTCATGATGCTATATATCAAGATAAAACTATGCCGATTTAAAAAAGCATTATGACATGGTCAGTGACCTATACAGAAAAGAAAATCAGAGTATTCTGTAGCTTGTTTCTGCAATTGCCATATCTTGGTGAGAAGGGCAGGAGGTTCAGTAAAGGCAAAAAAAACATGCAGTCAATTGAAAGCAATTTTAATGAAGCTGAGCAGCTGCTAGTCTTTCCCCTGCCTTATGAGGAGTGTGCCTATACTGTTTCCACATTCTGCCTTGTCAGGGCAATCTGGAAACAGTCAGCAATGTCAGGGGCAGAGAGCTGGTAAGGAGATCACTATTGGCACATGATCAGTATTGGGGTTGGACAGTACCTTTGAAATTCAGAAATTCATACAGGGTATAAATTTCATGCCGCTGTACTGTGAATTTGGACGCAGGTCATGCCTTATACACATACATCTCTTATACATACTTCAGTTTCATTAGTACACTAAATTCAAAATACATGAAAATAAAATCCATTTTATGATTATGTATTTTATGTTTTTAAAGTTTATCAGCTTTTTGATGATGGGGAGTAGTTTAAGTAGTTTATCCTAATGAAAAAAATGTTGATAATTATACATTTATATGACTAGTATGATTATAATACACTTTATAATACCATAATTAGAACTGGCTGCATGTTAATCACTCACAAGAATGGTAAAAAATAATAATTCAGTGGTAAAAAGTGGGATTAATCACTACTAAATTAATGCATACATTGAACTGCACTGTATTTTTCAAGAACTTTTTAACTTAGTGGACATTGTAATCCTGAATTCACTGATGTGCTTTGAAAAACTAGAAAGCTAAAAAGCTTTTGTTTGGACAAGAGTAGGAGTTACTATATTTGGAGTAGTTTAGATTATCTCAAATTTAAAGATGATATTTGAAATCCAGTGCATCTTTAGATTTATGGTAATGTGTGATTTTTGTATATATCATTTTCAAATGCCACTAAGTAATAACTAAACAATTGTAGATTACAGATGCAGGCTTTGGCATTGCAGCAACAGATGAAAAACTGCTAACTGAAGAGCAAATCAGAGTATTCTATGCTCGGAATATAGAACAGGTAAAAACAAACAAAATTAGGAACAGATAAAAAACAGAGTTTGGCTATATGTCTTTCTAAACCTCTGGCTTATAAATTTTTAATATGTTGAATAACTAAATTAATGGAGGTTCAATACATAGGAAAAAATACTCTCTCTTTTTTTCTAACAACTCTTATAAATCCTGTACAGGTGTAGGCTGGTAGCATTCTAATGTTCCAATTAAATACTAAGAGATTTTATTCTTTCTTTCTGTTGTCAGAGTGTCTATGACCCTTAATCATGGCCCTAAACAGACTTAGTTAGCTACTGAAATCTAGAACAAAAATAAAACCTATGTCATCTCTTTTACGGTATGTTTCTGTTTAACATGTATTCTTCTGGCCAAGAAATGGGTGATTTTCTTTTCTTTTCTTTTTTTTTTCTTCCATCTCCCCCATCCTGCTTTTATCACTGAGTCGTATTGGAGAAGAGCACGTGCACAGACAGAAAGAGAAAGGTTCTGCAATAAAGCTTATGTTTCTGGACGTATCCTGTGTTAGAGGAAAATAGATTGCTAAGGACAGAAAGCATTCAAGGAACCAATGAAATGGTGTTGGTCACCATTAAGTGTCAGTGGTCTACTGAACTGGCAACCTGATACTGTCAAGCGTTTTGGAGGTGTGGTAGCTAAAGTGAATTCTACAGAAAGATCTGCAGTAGAAAAGTGAATCCTCTTAGATATAAATGTATTCTCCTGTTTAAGATCTGCACAGTGTAGATAGAGGCTGGAATTGTATGCAGAGAATTTGATATTATTAGGGGAACCAATAGGAGGGTGCAAGGAAAGAGGTGACAATGAAAACAAGAAGCTGGGAAAATGTTCCTGTGACGTTCCAAGTGAGAATGAGTCAAGATTGTACTTACTGAAGCTAGAGAAAGAAGGGCTTAGTAGCTGTCAAATGGTGGCAATATGGAAAGGAAAGGAAGTATCTTGTGAGGAATCATGAAGAGCTTGGTTTTGGCAACGTTGAATCTGAAGCTACTTCATTCATAAAGAGCTGCCAAAGTCAAAGCTGAGTTTCTAGTCTGGACAGACAGAGACAGTTCTAAAATAGAGGTAAATCTGAAAGTCATCTTCAAAGGAATAGCAGCCAAATTTGAGATTAGCTAGGTGTAGAGGGAGAAGTAGGAGGGCCAAAAAACAGGGAAACAGCACGCAATGTTTGACATACTGCAGCAGCATAGTACTGCAGTAGATCCTAGCTAACATGAGGATAAGGAGAATTGAAGAACTACTGTGAAATATGAAAAGCAGTTCAGAGAGGCATGTGGATATTGAGAAGCCAGCTACTTGTCATTCTTTAAGTGTAATTCTAAGCTGAAACATAATTATGTTTAAGTGGCACTTGTAGTGCTTTGTGTATAATATGGATGTCTTTGTGCTCAGTGAGCAAAATTTTTCCTAATTTAGTACCGCACAAACCTGTTGAAGGTCCAGAACAAAATCTCAAGGACACAGAGCTTCACAGATACAACTGAAAGTGGAAATAGTTTGTTTTTAACAGTGAAGCTGTATGTCTAAACAGACATCCATTCTAAAGTGGGCAAGTATGCTTTTGAAGCCACAACAGATTAGATACTCGCTTTATACGTTGCACTAAATGTTTTCCTACTTGAATTCATTCAGTTTCTTTTGAGTGTCTTCACCTTCTTAAACAGATCAAGGGAATGCACAGGTATGAAGCAAAATGAAAGAGAAAAGCAATGAAATGAAAGCAATGCATGCGAATATTTTATCCTTATAATATTAAAGGAAACATGCATCATACACAATCAGATGGGAGTGGCCGATAAAGAAAAAAATTAGTCATATACTTAAGAGGAGAGAAGAAGCATTGCATTTGATCATTTGATAGTTTTCAGATTGTTTTCTTTACTCATCTTTTGTACTTGTAACCTGGCAGAACACGCGGTGCTTGCTGAATGTCGTTCTGTAACTTCGTTTATCTCAATTAATTGCATTTGAGACAATTTATGATGCTGTTGTGTCAAAGGATTGATCAAAAGACCTAAACAAGCCTATGCATTACAAATTTAAACAATTTTACAAGGTTGTGTAACGTATGTGAATGCCATTATACCACAGGAGTTATGAGTTCTGTAGCAATGGATGGTCTCGTTTCTGATGATAAGGTCAATTCTTGCAATTCATAGCAGAAAAATTATGTTTTTTAGCCTGATTTTGAGGATTTTGTTCAATTCATGATGAGTGGACCATGCCACATTTTGGTAATCGCTAAAAAGGAATCAGCTGATGCTATTCCTCACTGGAAGGAACTAAGTGAGCCAAGTGAAAATCAGCCTGATGAGCCGGAGCCTAAAAAGCCAGATAGGTAATTAACATCTACAATGAAATTGTTATATGTGATTCAGTTACAGTATTCAGAACTAAACCAAATACAAAGCCAGTGTTGCCAGATTGATGTACCTGTGTATACAGAGTCCAGGGAATAGGCGGAGTTTCTGTACCTGGTCTTTCACAGAACCATCATTACCGATGCAATCTCAGTACTTGATGGAACATAAAAACTCCATGATTCTTAAGGAATGATAGCAAGCGAAGGGCACTGATCTCATACTGTTTTTGAAGTAGCTTTGAATGGATTGTCAGCCCAATGGGAACAGTGGTATACTTCAAAGTTGATGTAGTCCATGCAATTCCACTTCACACTAATTCACTAAGACAAAGTGACTGCCTATAGAGTTGAACTCTTGTCCGTGTTTCCTCCTGTGCATGCTAGGAAATTGTAGGTGTGGTCCAAATGCAGCTGGGGGACACCTGAAGCATGCAGTGCTCTCTAGAACCACTCTGAAGAAGCCAACAAACAAGTGGGAGATTGACCAGACCACTAGCTTTATTTTGCCAAGATACATAAAAACATTGTGAGGATTTGGTGTTTACAACCTTGGTATCACGAAATGCTTATTTTTGTCTTACGCCGAGTATTTAACTGAGAATTTTAATGAGAATATTGGTTGTATACAAAGCACCAAGTAGTAAAAGGAGTGCTCACAAAAACAGGAATATTGGATTAAGTTTTATATTTAGGTGAGAAACTTACAGAAAGCAACATGAATTTAAATACTTTGTTCTAAAGAGAACCTGTCATAATAATTTATACTTTTGTCAATGCCTGTTCTGTCCCTTCTACTTGAATTTAATGTGACCCAGGAATACTATATTTGCCTTAAAAGGCTAAGAGTGGTTGTATTTGCATGACTAAATAAACCTGAGAACGTCATAATGAAAAGAAGCTCTGCTAAAGAGAATTCTATAGTGCTGTCATTTTCAGGATCGTGCTTTACCTGAATGAAGCACAGACCTTTTATTGATCCTTCATTATACACTGTGCACTTGTCAGTAATCATTTTGTTTAGTGAAACACGGACTATTTTGAAGAACCTAGAGGGGAATTGAAATGCTATACGGCTGAGATTTCTCTTGCACAGAACTAACTTGTGAGAGAATGAGAGATAATTCTTGCCTCAGTAATATTACTTTACTAGTGAATCTGAATTCAGTAAAAACAAATTAGTTTGGTATTCTATTTTTAGGTTTTACTAAACTGTAAGAAAGTATATTTTTCAAAGAGTCAACTGTTAACACAACGTATGCAGTGACTAAAATGCTGGATTACTTTGTGTCTTGTTAGGTTGGAAGGAATCTTGGAAACTGAGGCTCTATTAAATATATGTGATGTGCAAGACAGTATAGAAGAGGCTAGCAGGCAACTTGCCTTCTTTTTCCCAAATTTTGATAAAGAGAAAACAGACCAAAATGTTGAAAGAACTTTGGCCTTAATTAGACCTTTTCTCCTAAAGGAAAGACGATGTAAGTGTTAACAACTGCATTTTCTGTCTCAAGTATATGAAAAGGATTTTGTATTTGAAAAATTCTGGCACTACTAATGAAAGGTTGTTAGGTTGTATTGTCTGCCCAGCATCAAGTTGACAGTAATCCTTGTCAGTAAAAAAAAAAAAAAAAAAAAAAAAAAAAACATAGTTAATTGATATATTTAGAATTTAAATGTCAACACTATTTGCTCCTTCAGCTGATTCTTGGAAAATGTCTTTGGATTGTATATTTGGATGTCGTATTTATAGAAGAAGTTCTCAGAGAAGCTAACATTTGCAAAGTGTGCTGAATGGGGTCATGCTTCCTGCTATAATGAAGTAGCTGATACTTTCCTTGAATAGCAGGTCCAAGACAGGTCAACAGCAAGTGTGAATAAGATTTGTCTCAGGATATTTTATGCTGAATAAGGCAGTTCTGCACAAGGATAGGTTTTTACAGACTAGGTTTTTTTACAGATGAAATCAGAAGTAATCTAGCCGCATTAGTATGAAGCTCTATCCAAGCTAGTTTACTTTGTTTCTCTGGCATATATTTGCATTTCTTCCTGGATTCTGGCTAGCTCCTTTATTGCTAGCTTAATCTCTGTACTGACAATAGTTTGCAGTATAATCTATACATAGAGGTCAGTAAGACTACAGTTTTGACCTTTCCTTGCCTATTTCTTTTTTTAGTTGATGATACCTAGTTACGTTGCTTAGGGGAGCAGTTTTGCAGTGCGTATATAGGGAATTATTCTGTCATTTTGACTTCTGCCAACTACTGCTTATTTACACTTACAATCTTGTAGGACTTAGTCAAATGAATATCCAGCTATTAAAAATCCTCAGCCCTTCTTCTGATTATTACAATGCATATCATATTTTTCAATCAGATATTCATACTGAGATGAGAGAAGGAAAAGGGATGCTTGGCAATAACTGTTTCTTAGCATATAATTAAGATATATAATTTTATAATAAATAATAGATGCAGAGCTGTACGCCTACTTTTCTGGACTATTATGGATCCTGTTTATGACAATAGGTGGAACTCATTGGAGGATGTTCTCCATTTGTAGTTTCATTGATCAGTTACATAATATTGACAGTTACATTATTATCATCAAGCTCAGCTGATATTTTGAGTAGTACCCATTACAACTGAAAGGATTTCAAGAAGGAACCATGACGTTTATGAATAACTTAGGTGCATATTTTCGGGTACCTTTTTTTGGAAGTTAGGTATGTCCTTCAGATGTGGATAACTTTTCATGCTCTAGCACTGAACAATTATTCTGCTTTTTTACATCATCTGGCATACTCCAATCACACTATACCAGGCAGCAGATATTTACATGAAGTAGCTTCTCATTCTAGCCTTCTGCCATCTATGTAGTGTGGTATATGGGCACCTCCACTCTGTGTCTCCCCATAAGATTATTTCCTGCACACTGGGTAGTTGCAGCACTGATGAACAGTCTAATTTTACATTTTCTTGGAACCAGTGACATCATCCAAAGCTGATACATGTGCTATTTCAGCTATTTTTTTCCTTCCATCTGTCCTTAAGAAAGTGAGCATCAGCTTTCTGAGCATCCAAGCAAGTACTGAAACCCTCTAGCAGTTGCTTTGAATCAGTTTTCTGTTCTTCAGTTAACAAATTAATTCAAAATTAATTTAACATTATGATTGGAAAATAAATGTCATTTCTTCAGAAGTGTAGAAATTAATGAATGACAATTCAACATTGTTTCAATATTTGCAACAGATTCTATTATGCAAAGAATAACGGATGATGGCTTCAAAGTAGTAATGCAGAAAGAAATAGTCCTAACTGAAGAACAAGCACGTGAATTTTACAAGGAGCATGAAAATGAAGACTACTTTCCACTGCTTCTCCAGGAAATGACCAGGTATGTTGACTGCAAAATGAGAGTGTGGAGCTGTAAATGGAACTAGACTTTTCACAGTAAATCATTAACCTGAAGAATATACAGCTTCAAGGCATGACTGAATCTGAGAATTTAGCAGAACTCAAAACAAGATCACAACTGCAGAGGAGATAGTTCCCAAGTATCGTAGATAAATAAACAAGAGTTTAAAAAAGTATTGGGTACTCCATACCCCTATACATAGGATGCTGAAGTCAGTTTCCATTTCTGTTGATTTGAGTGAAAACAGTTGAGCTCTGCTCTGGAAGGCTAGATTTAGCTTGTCTGCAGGAGGGTTCTGTGGCTCTTATCGAGGCTGTGTGCTGGGTTTCCTTGGAGCTGAAGAAAAATCTGTGTTTGGATATTGTCTTCATATGAAGTCGAGACAGAGCTGGGACGAACACAAAAACCGAGAAGCTGAGAAGTGTTCTTATGTCTAATAATTAAGTCTAATCCTATGACATTCTTGCTATTGTGGTAACATTCAATAACTTGGAAAATTACATTCCCTTTTAAGCCCCATAATGTTTTATCAGACTCTAGCTGTTTAAATGGGGATTGGCTTTAAAATACCCCTTTACTAGGGCTTGTTTTCCTGGACAGCACAGAATTTGATTAAATTCTTACAAATTACAGTGAGTTTAAGATTTGTTCTGCTGTTTTTAATGCCGGTTTTCCCTTTTTACAGCGGTCCAACTCTTGTACTTGCTCTAACACGAGAAAATGCTATAAAACGCTGGAGAGAGTTACTTGGCCCAAAGACTGTTGAAGAGGCTAAGAAGAAAAATCCAACCAGGTAATACTTAAAATAGTAAACTATCCTTCCTAACTTAGTTTACTTTCCATTCTTCAACTCAAGGAATTCCACATTGCTACTTGTGTAACTGTAGTGCCATCATCTGGAAACTGATGCAACAACCGCAGCTTTTTAAGCTTTTTCTTGGATTAATTGTTGTATTATGTGCAGGAACTATAACATATTTTGAGAATAGTGCCTAATAAATGAAAAATTTGAGTTTAAAAAAGCAAGTTTGGGAGGCATTACAGAGAAGGAAGGTTTCTAAGTTACAAATCTTTGACTGCCAGAAGCACATACAGCAGGAGGAATTTATCTTTTTTTATTTTTTATTTTTTTTAAATAATCCTGCTCTGCCAGCCACTCATGGAAACAGGCTATTTGGCTATTAAATTGAACCTGCCCGTTGGATGACAGTTTTTAGGCTTTGTGATCTACAGAAGTACTGCTATTCATTTTCTGTGTGCAAAAAATATTGATAAAATCTCATTCTTATTGATTGTCTGTTAGCTTGAAATAGTGCTACTATTTATTGGAACAGATGCCTATGGCCTCTTAGTTTAGTGAAAACTCTTCACTAGTAGAGTAGTTTATTTGTGATTAAGTTTCTTCTACATATTTTATAAATGAACAAGTTAGTTACCTGCTCATAATATTGTTCTGAGAAACTGCTGTGGTATCGTCTTATCTGTTGTTGATAGACATAGTATTTCATTAAGCAAGAACTGGTGTTATCTTGAAGATATAGCAAGATGACAGTTGAGAGGGAAGGTGTTCATATTTCAGGTGGTTAATTGAAAAGTTAACTGCTTTTCTTGTAGACTCTGAAGGCTTCTTACTCCTACAGAAAGATAATTGAGCTCTTCGTGCTCCCCAGATCAGCATGAGTCTATATTCACTGAATTAAGGATAGTCATAGTTAAAGCTCAAAATAGCTATTCCATTAAATAACTTTGTTATTTTAATGACTGTTAGTTTACGTGCAGAGTTTTCAGTAGAGAGCACACCTTTTGATCAGCTGCATGGCAGTTCTTCACCTGATGATGCTCAGAAGGAATTACAGTTCTTCTTCCCTCAGGAGCACACTTTGGCATTAATTAAACCTGCTGCTGTTAAGGAACATAAAGGTAAATAATCCAGAAAGTATGGGCTATGTCTGCAGACCTAATTTCTACAAAATATTAGCAATGTACAGTTTGCAGTAAATCATGTCAGCTGCATTCATCTTCGTAAATGCTTTTTTGCATGCAGAGAAATGCTTTTATGGGACTTGTATAATTCATATAGATGTCTCAAATGTGACATTTTGATTACTCCTTTCCATTACTAAATTAGCCTGTAGTTCTTTTTTCACCAAAAAAAAAAAGTGAGAGTGTTCTTAGCTAAGTTAAGCTGTTTAAAAGCCAGGCACTTTTACAAACTAGTCATCTAGCGTCCTTCTAATTGAAAGGAGAGAGAGGCCTTCCAGAGTCATCCCACTGACTGCAGACAGCCATCTTTGCGGACTCAAAAGGGGACATATACTAAATTAGAAGTATTCCTATCCTTGGTTTAACTCACCGTCAGATAAAGAGAAAGAAGAGGAAAGTTCAAAGAAAAGAACCCTACACAAAATTTGGAGTCTTGCCTTTAAGGTTTTTGCTGCCTCTATTTTTACTCCTCTACTCAGAGCCTCCTGGCCTCCTCCTTTTATGTTCCAAAAAAGTCAGGCTCTTTCTGATGTTAATTCATCTTTGACTTTTGAGAGTCTTTCTTCCTCTCTTTGTAACAATCCAGATTGATTTACCAGGCCAGCTGGTATGTATATTCCATATGTGAGAAATGGTAATGAATGCTACTGGCGTAAATGATAATAATTCAAATTTTTCACCTGCATAGAAATGGATTAGTCCAGTGACAATGGTTTTACTGTATATCTTGGAATGCTGAAGTGTCATCATATTGTTCATGATTGTTTGATAGTCTGAGTAGAATTCTAATGGTGAATTATGAATTTACCAAAAAGCAGATACAGTATTTTCTAAAACTTTTTACATGTTTTTGTATCTAAAATACAATAACTGTTTAAATCAAGAAAGAATGAGTTTGTTTTTCTTTCCCCTAGATGACATTATGCAAAAAGTTAAAGATGCTGGATTTACTATCTCAAAGATTAAAGAAGCAACCCTAACTCATGAAATAGCTGCACAGTTTTATAAGGATCATGAAGGAAAACCCTTTTTTGAACCATTAGTGGCTTGTATGACCACGTAAGTGTCTCGTTGCACAGTAATGAGGTATACGAGTATACATTATAACCTTGAATTTACAGAGCGAACGAACATGCTACACTCAAAGTAGGCTACAGATTTTACATTCTCTCAGTCTTTCAGGCAAGGTTAGTGGCTTTTTCTAATTAGTAAGGTTATCTTTTAGATTGGAATGCCCTTCCTTTAAAGGAAAGATTTACAATTCTTTCCAAATTTATGGATAGTTACTATCATTTTGGATTTGTCCCCTCCACTCCCCTCCCCCCCACACCCCCCAAAAGAAGACGTCCATCATTGCTGATGGAATCCCTGACCTTCCCACATAGGGGAATTATTTTCCTCGTAATGTGTGTAGTATAGCTGTTGATAAAATAGCATTTGTTGCCTTACTTCAGAAATTAATGGGTGAGAGTCTTTGTAGGAAAAGAAATCAGAATACATGATCATCATAATCTTTTTGGCTTTCAGATGCAGGTATCGGTAGATTTATAGTGTCTTGAAACAGTCTGGAAACGCATATTAAAATTTAAACAGTATAACTAAATTCAGATATAATAACGCGCATGTGGTTTATCGTAACTCTTCACAGAACCCCCAAAGCCAAAGGTAAATCTGCCTCTCAGAATTGTGGAAGAACTTTCATGTCTTGATCCTACAGGGGCCCATCCGTGATAATGATTTTAACAAAGGAAAATGCTGTGGAAGAATGGAGGCAATTAATGGGTCCAACAGATCCAGAAATGGCAAAAGTGACCTCTCCTGAATCAATTCGAGCTCAGTTTGCACAAGATATTTTGTCTAATGCTGTTCATGGATCATCTAATAAGGAACATGCGCTAAGAAGTATTGAGTGTGTATTTGGAGAGATTGATATAGATTAAAAATCATATGTAATCTCTGAAAAATAATATTCAAGTTGTAAGATTTGTCTATCCAACCTACTATATTTAAAGGCTATATTACACGTTTTCCTTCATACTCCACACATTTTTGTTATCAGTTCCCCCCCCATGTAGCAAAGCATATCAGTGTAACAACTGATATATCTGCTAGAAGTTTGTTGTCACTAATTATTGCTATACATACACATGATACATGTTTTCTTTTCTTTTATCATCTTACAGACTTGTACCCTTCTCATAGTTACAAAAGTCTGAGGTGTTTTATGGTATAAATATGTGAAAAACAGGGTCAAGGACAAAAGGTCATTAAAGCACTATTAATGACACATCCATTGTGATGTGAATACAGTCTTCCAGTTCAGGCAGTCTGTAGAGAAAAGATACTGGAAGACAGTGGAGGTACTATGACAACATTGACAGGGAGCAGCTCCACAAGGCAGAATAAGCAAGAAGCCAAGGGTGACCCCAGCACAGGCCGTGACCTCACCAATGGGGACACAGTCCTACAGCACCTGAGCAGGGTGAGCAGAACCAGGTGCTGCTAACAGGGTCCATCAATAGTCCCAGACAAGCAAGCAGTGAACCAGGTCTAGGGTCCATGCAGAGGGATTCAGTCAGAAACAACAGGCAGTAGAGACCAACATTCCTACAACATAGCTCAAGTAAGGATTAAGGCCAGATCTAAGCTTAAATGGGGCTCTGGGGTCCATGGGCACAGGGTGGATGTGGGGGTTCCAGGTGAGGCTGCGTTTTTCATTGTTTTTTTATCCTTTCCCTAAACATCTTCTAATGGTCACTGTCACAAGTAAGATAGTAAACAAGATGGTTCTTTCCAGTCCAAGTAGTCAATCCAAATATATCGCATGAAGCAAAATACAAAGTCAGCTCTTATATGTGGCTTTTCTTGAAATATACATCCTTGCCAAACTGGTGAATTTGCATCCTATCTCGGTCCAGTTTGGCTGGCTTTCATGAAGAACGCAGCTGTGCTTCTGTAGCTGATAAATTCTCATTTTTGCTTGTCTGAAGGCTGAGACACTGAAGAATGCCATACAGTTTAAGGAGTTTGCATTGCAGCGTGATTATAAGTACCAAGGCCAGAAAGAATAGTTTTCACACTTTTCTTACAGTTCCTATTGTATTTAATGTGACCAGCTATTTTAAAGAGCTTCCTGAAAAATATTTCTGTTGCGATGCAGCATTTGTTGTTATAGGCATTCCTCTAGCAAAAATTGGACTGAGCATTCTACTGGTGGCGTGTTTTCACCTGCAGCTGCTTTACTGCAATAAACTGTACTTGACGCTAGCCTGTAGGAAGTTTTGATTAGTTCAGAATTTATGTGTCACCTCAGTGAGCTGATTTCTGAGAAGCATAGTGCAGAATTGCTTTATATTCTTTGGCTTGTGTTTTACTTCAAAAACCAATTAAAACTGTTCTTCCTGGCATTATTTCAGCACTCTGGGTCTTTTGGATGCTGGCATGTGGTGTTTTAAAACCAGGACGCAGTCTCAGAAAAGGCCTGAATCCACAGACTTAAATGCATCAATTTGGTTCATTTCCCGAGGTCTTTGCTCGAGTTACTGGCTTCTGTATCATGGGGCAAATATAATATTGAAGACTTCTGACAAGGTCAGAAATGCTGAAAGGAAGTTCACAACTGATTTGTAAATGTTTGATAGATATTATACAAAGGCTTTGAATACTGTGGAATATTTACTGCACCAGTCATAGATAGTTCAGTCAACTCTTGCTGTACACTAAATGTACCTGGTTAACTGTGATAACATTTTTCATATTCAGTTATTATTTGTTTAACTATGATTCTTTATACTCTCTTACATCACTCAAATCCTTGCAATTCAGAGGTGCCTAAGCAGTCATGAAAATTAAAATTCATCATGTTTTCTGTTAGATTTTAACTGTTAGCTGTTGAAGGATTGCATTATTTGGGTTCCTATATACGTTTATCACTTGTGATCCTTGTTCTATGCTTGGTTAAAATGATTCAGTAGATTACATTGAAATATTGTGCATAGATCTGTGACAGTTTTTCTTCACGTTGCCTGAATGTGCAAACCCCAGTTGGAATGGGGGAACATGTAATCTACTAATGCTTATTTGTTTCTCCTAAATATCTTCTTGTTCTCAATGTCTCTTGGTAGCTTTGGAAAGAAGAAATTTAAGCAATGCACTTCAAAGGAATAAAAATAACTGTCTTATGCAGCTGATGGAGAGATTCAGATGCATGAAGGCTGTGTCTCTTCCAGATACAAACTTTGTAGGAATATCAAAAAATTGTGCATTCAAAAGCACGGCTATTGAAGTACTATCAGTATTTTAACAGATTACTTTGTCACTTTAAAAGTTTAACTCAACATTTAGGTATTGTCCACATAATGTGTGCTACCATCCATTATTATTTACATTTTACATTGCTGTGAACTTGACATGGTCAAAGGTTTGAGCAGTTGTGATCACGTGGGCAGACATTTGCATTTGTAGAGTCAGGAGGAATATGTTCATTAATTCCCAACATAAACTCCAGCAATTGTGAGTCTCACAGATGAAAATCTTGCAGTTAAATTTATACAGCTCCTTTGCCTACAAATCTTACAGAAAGTCTGACTGTGTCTTTTTATCTTATATCTAAAGGCCAGACTGAAGGAGAATGTGACGTTTATGGACCATTTATTTAGAAAATGTCTTGTGGTTCTGTGTCGATATTTGATGGTGCAGAGATATGACAAAAATTGTTCCAGTACTAACAAAAGATAACGTAATTATTCCTCTGATTTTTGTCCCAGCAAGAGATAACCAGAACCACAGAGTGTTTATTTGTATAATAGACCACATATTTCCTTGTTTAGGAACTTTAATGAAATCATAATCTGATAGTAAGACTATATTAAAGGTCTATTTCAGGTTAGAAAGATAAACAAGCTGGTTTTAAATCTCAAAATCCTGTATAAGAAGGGTTAGCATGTCTAGTTTGTAAATTTGTACTGCATTACTGCATAATAAAGTAAGAGAGAGAACTGGGGAGATTTTTCCCAACTAAGAAGATGAAATCAATCAGCCTGTGGTTGTGTACTGCACTGGTTTTCCTTTGCTCTGACTGATGGATGAAGTACACTGCAAAACCTTGGAAGTACGTATTCACTTTATCCGCAATTCATTGTGCATAAATGATCAGCTTTCTGATTATCCTGCTCAGAGGATAAATACTGATGTGCTCTAAGTATCTATAAATAAAGTTTTCATCATACTGTAATCAGAAGGAATCAAAATATCAAGAGTGTTGTTCTGTTTTGGGTACCTCTTGACTGCTCTGATATATCCATTTACACTCTGTCCATAACAGAGACCACTGACATATTTAAGGTACGTTTAGGTTTTGGTCTTAGTATTCTCATCTAGAAAGAAAGAGCGCGTCCTCCCTCCCAAGTGCTTTTCTTTGTGGTTATTTCCATACTGCTTTATCCACAAGCCTTTTGGCAGTCACGACAGGAGCCAGTCTGATACTAATAGAAAGATTACCTGGAACCCTCAGAATTTACAGCCTATCTAATAAGAAATTTCAAAATTCTATTTGACCTTCCAATGAATCTGACGTTTAATTTCAGAGATGTTATAGGAAATAGTGTTAGCAGTTGAAATTAGTATTTCCACAGAGCCTTGACTAGGTCTAATTAAAAGTTATGTACCTTTTACAAAAATGACATCTTCATTTGTAGGCCCTTGCAAGTTATTTGTTTCGCTATAAATGGAAACATAATTTCTAATGTTTGACCGGTACTGATGGATTTATATTCATTTACAATGTTATTCAGAGCTGATAAGGTTGACCAGAAAAGCTGGTTGAGGAAACGTTTTCAGATTTATAATTACATTCAACTAATAAGCAAAACCAAAAGTCTGTGTCGATTGTGATAATTGGAGTAAATATTTTTTCAGGTTTCATTGATTTGGAATCTATGTTACAATGGTGGATAAAATAATTTAAGAGCTGTTTGAGTATTTTGGACTGGAAAATCTTATTTTTGTTTGTACAGGATGTATTTCTCAGTTATATGCAATGACTGGACAAAAGTAACAAAGTTACAGTGCTGAATTGAATTCAATTGACCGGGTCATTCAGGTTCTGTTGCAGGGAGGTTTATGGGGGGTTTTATGTGATTCGTAAAAGAGTTCTGATTTGCATTTACAGTGAGCTGCTAAAGTGGTGCCAATTATTCACAATTAGAGTCAATATTTTTTCAGGTTTCATTCTTTTGGAACTGAGGTTAGAACGTTCAGTGAAAATACTCAATGGCAGTTCTTACTCCACTGGGTACATGTGTGTGGGAGGTAGTAAGAGACTCACTGGAAACGTCTGTTCAGTATTCCAGACCATTTTTATTTTATATAAAGAAATGCCAGGCCCCTCAGTAGGAAGGCAGCTGTACCACTAAGAAGAAAACATTTGACGCTCTCAGTTTTGGCTGTTAATTTTTCAGCTGTGAAAAGGTACAAAAATTACTTTTGTCCAACAACGGGTTGTTTGTGCACTCTGCTAAACCCCTGTTTCATGGCTCCAGTCCTGGGATGCGTTAACGTGGCAGTTACTGCCATCTCTGGGCTTGGCCATGAACATGCACAAGAAGAGGTAAGTCTGACTTTTGTCCCCATGCAGGGGAGCGGGAGTGGTGGGTGAGCCCTGTGGGGAGGCAGAGGGATACGCTCGTCTGCTGGAACAGCCCTGGCTGCTCCAACAGCTGTTTCTCACCTTCGCAAGGGAAGGGCAGCAGGCTGGAGGGCCACGTTCTGGGTCTGGATTCAGGTGGCAGTTGATACTGCAGTTAACTGTGAGGGACTTTGAAAATGGGGTGAATTATATTAATTAGCAATAAACTGTGTTTACTCATGGCTTCATAAACAAATAGGAGAATAGAAAAAATAAAATTGGGAACATGCACTGTCTTACTAGTTCATTCCCCTGGTCTGCATGTTTGTTCTTTTTATTACGGTATCCCCTACTGTTTGTTGTATTGACTTTCCTTCTTCAGTGTTTTTACCATATCAAAATAAAAGTTAGTCAAGCATAAAACATACAGAAAAATGTCAAGGAATCAGTAAACGCTGGGATTGGTGCATCAAAGTTTATTTCAATATAATGGAATGGTGAGTGAAATGATAACTTACAGAAGGAATAGTGAAAATTCTCTGTAGAAAATAGGGTTTTTTTTTTTCTTTAATATAAAAAATGACTGAAAAAAGTTTGATTTTTAACAGTTGTAAAATAATATGTAATGCTGTTATGAAGTCTAACTAGCTGGTCCAGTGGGTTCAATCAATGAACACCGCACTTGACTATGTACACAATCAGACTTGTTAAAGTGAAATAGTACAACTTCAGTATTTGTTGTTTCAACATCACAATGACAGGACTGTTGTGCATTTTTCATAGTTATCCTTATATATATTTATTAAGGCATTATAAATTGGGATCAATAGGAAAACAAAGCGTAAGAACTCCTACTATACAGTAAAAAAAAAAAAATTCAGAAGCTTTCCAGTCACACTGACCTTTTAGTTCATGTTTTCTTAAGTCAGCATTTTCAAACTTACCTAATTTAGTCACCTACAGTGAAATTCTGGCTCCCTTAATTTCAATTTCAGGTTTGCCATTTTGTTCTATAGTATTAAAATCTCACCTGTGAAGTGAGTCTGTATTTAGGCATCTAAATATGTGGTCTGTGTTTTTTAGACATGTTAAACACACACAATGCCCATTAAGATCAGTGGATGCTATATGCCCATCATTCCTGGCACCTGTGTTGAACTTTGAACCTAATTCTACAGGTTTTCCAAAGAGAATTAGCAGGAAAGGCCTACATTCTGATGTTGACCGTTGCTTGTTTTAGCAAGCACTTCAAGTCTCAACCAAGGGTCATGCAGTTTTACTTTTTTCTCAGAACTACCTTATATGGTGTTTTTCAAATTTTCTGAAATACCTCTGCCCCGTTTTAACCATTCCGCTTTGTAATTTATGCTTTATGCTTGTGTTAGCGTATTACTAAGTCTGTTACTTGTATTACCAAAATCACAACAGCAAATTCAGCCTTCCAATTCATGCATGCAAATTTCATTGGAATTCTGGTAATAACATAGATCAATATATTGACATAAGTTGTAGTGTGTTAACCTACACAGAACTCTTCCTTCCGATATAGACACTCTCTATTTTAGAAATACTTGGTATATTTTATAAATATTAAGAATGCCAAATCAAGTCCTTAGTTTTGCTGTGGGAATTCTTGAAGGTCTTTAAGACGGTTATCATGAGCTCTTACAACATAAATGAAGGCAATTTCCTTATGTGCTAACAGAAACTAGACTGTGCTAGCAACACTAACAGAAACTGGACTGTGCTAGCAATACTGGATGTACTCCACATACAGCTGGGCAGGAATAGCATACACGCCACCTTGGAGCTAGGCCAATTGGATTTATATCACCTCTGCTACTTGAATACCTCACACAGCAAAAATTAAGTCAGTAAAATTTACTCTTAGCCCCAGAGAAGCAGAATCTGCTTTGACTGTGACCTTTTGCAGGGCCAATGCTACCTTCACGTTAGGAAAACTGCAGATAGCCAGGCTTTTTTTGAGAGACTTATGAAAAAGGACAAGCAATCTTATTTATTTATTTATTTGGCAACTGAGTAAGATTTAGAAATAGTATCCAACAATAAAAATGGTTAAAGATCCAAATGAATACTGAGATGCATAAAGCCCTGTCTTCATTTTAATACTGTACAGTAGCTGTCAGTTCTGTTTAGAATAATGCTTTTCATTTTCACAACAAAGCTATATTACAGCAAACATGTAAATGTTACTTTAAGGAATTCTGCAATTCTGCTTCACTTTAATCTGTTCTTTTAAAAAATACTGATTTTTCAATTAGATGTTTAAATACATTTGAAGTTATAACAACAGAAGCCAGCCTGAAGTACAATAAAAAAAGTCTGCTTTCAATGCATTTTCACTACACAAACTCACAAGTTCAAATAGTAACACGGTAAGCATATTTCTGGCACACACATTAAAAAAAAATAGTAATCACATAACGCATGCCCAGATGCTTGTTGGTAAACTATGCTTTTGAATCCTCTGAACAAGGGCTATGATTCCTAACAGCAGATAGAGTCAGCTCCAGCAGCTGCAGTAGTTACTGCCTTAACCCTCTACCTAAAATTGGAATCAGAGCCCTAAGGTAAAGCTAAATCAGTTTGAGTATGCCTACCACAAATTAGTGCAAACCTACACTCTGTGGCTTGAAAGGAAAAGAAAACCTTTAAAAGTAAAGTGCAGCAACAATGTCTATGTAGAAACTGCAGTGAGTTTTTAAATTGATGAGTTCTAGATTAATAAAACATGCCGATCAAGCCAGCTTGTGACCCTCATCATGCAAGAAAAAGTCTTTCCTTTCAGAAATGTAACATTCATGCTTTTTTAGGGTTCGTTTCTTTCTGACCATTTCTCACTTTAACAGCCTTTTTGGGGCCACTGACCAATGGGTTGGTGTTCTTCGTTGATGGTTTTGGTGCCCCACTGCGACCACTGCGTCCGGCATTCTGGTTCTTACTGTGGGCCGTTCGCTGCTTTTGCTCTTGCAGTCTCTGTTCCCATCTCTGCAGAAAATGGCAGGAAGAAAAAGAGTCTGAGTTATGGAAAGACTTTATGATAAATAATTGAGTCTTAATCAGAGCTAGCCCAAACCATACTAGTGCTGCTCTCACTGGTTTTGTGTTCTGCCCTGAAGGCCGTTTATCTCAGTATTTTATTGCTATCTGCAGTGGGAACCTGCCACGCGTTCTTGGGTGGGGGAATTTCCACAACACTTCATTAGAATGACAGCTCATCTCAGTGGTCTTTATCCTGCAGAGGGAACCACGTGTATGCATCTCAGGCCTTTTCAGAAATTCTGGGAAGCTGGCATCACGCCACCAAAAAGCAGACAATCCTTTCACAGTATGTATTTAAACACACAGCTACTAGGGCAGGTGGTGTTTATTTTCTGGTTCTGCTTCTCCCTGGGGGGCAGAGGACTGGGCATAAAGTGGCTTATGTTACAGACAGACCAGGGAGATGACCACCAAAATCACAGAGTGCTTGGAGTTGCAATGGGACAGTTGTGAATAATGCATGTGCAGCCCTATTTAGCAGCATCCCAGAGAAATTTTGCAAAGCAATTAGCTCAACCAGCCCATCAAAGAGAATAGCTGCCAGGTTTCCAAACCCAGAGCAGCGGTTAGAAAACAGGATTTTAGAGTGAGGTTAAGCGTTTGGGTGGTCTAAAATATGGAGAGATTCACAACACTGCAGCACAGACTGCACTCTTATACCTCCAGGAACAGAAAGATTCATTTTTAGGAAAACAAGCTAGACAGTAGAAGCTGGAGGGGGTCTCACTGTTCCCCTCTATTAATGAAATTTCTCTTCTGAAAATCCCAAAGAGAGGGCCTTTGCCCTGATCAGAGCAAGAGAAATGCTCTGCAGCTTTGCTGTTTAGTATCTCTGCACTGACCCTGCTGCTATTCAGACTTGCAATCTGGCTACAGAAGAGGTCAGCCATGTTGTGGTTATGTTAACAGATGTCTTCTGTGGTCCACAGCTAGCTCAAAACACTCATTTTAAGTGGTAACTCAAGATAAATGTCGGATGCAAGTCTTCAGAGATGAATGATGGGCATTAAAATGAAACCACTGCAATACCTAGCTCCATGCTAGTTATATTCATTTAGTCAGGGTCATCATATGCATCTTTTTAAAACAAAAACTCCCAGCAGACATTTAGGAGTGTCCCACTCAAACGTGTATAAATGACGATTTAACATATGAAACTGTTAATATGAGAGAGAATGACATGTGCTTTGAGAAATTGTTTGTTTTGCAGTTACGTATCTATTCTGGCAGTCTACAAATGAATGTCCGAGCAGGTTTCAAAACACAATTAGAAATGACAAAGTAGTGTGTGGAGGCCACTAAAATACACTGTGTGCCAGTAACAGGTCATTAAGTTGACAGCTAAGGCCTTTCAGGTGTCTCAATCAATGTCAATATGCACATAAATGCCACCTCTGTCACCTGCAATTACAATCTGTTCGGTTTTTTTTACATTTAAAACTTTTTTTTCCACACACAGGTTTTATTTAAGCAGGGAGAAAAGGGAATGATTAAATTACCAAATACAATTCAAGGAATTGGTCTGTAATCTAAAAGTTTCTGCTGATGGAGACATCTGCCTTTTTCTCCTCCTACTTATTGCCAATTGGCCCATAATTGAAATAATTACAATAAATTTCTTCAATGCTTTGGCAACTTCTTTTTTGAATTACGGATATAGTTTTTTTCCATCTCTAAAAGTGCCAGGAAGAGTCAGACATTTTCTTCATCCGCTCTTTTTTTGCATTACAAAGGAAAGAGGAGCATAGGAGCATGAAATGATTCTAAGTGCTATCCTGAAGCCCCAAGAAGTCAGACCATCTGCTGCTCTTGCCTCCTCCGTCTTTATACTATTGACTTTTCACTCCGCTGTCCCCTGAAGTCAGTGAAGGCATGCCCAATACTGTCAGTGGGTCTTTAGTGGGAGTCAGCTGGTGAGGAGCCTGTTTCTCAGGCCTACAGTCTTCAATGCAGCAAAACCCATTTACCCAGTGCAGTGGGTTTTAACTAGACTTTCTTACCTAATGTGCACTATATGCCCATCGGCATATCACTTGTCAAACAGTTACATACCTTAGCAGTGATTTGAAAGAAATTCCCAGATTTGTTGTTGTAATAAGATAAGAGTTTACTATCCAACACGTCATCCAGCCATCATACTTAGGGACAGTTTGCAGATAAAATATAAATAAAATTTTAGAGACCCTAACATGCAAGACTATAATTTTCACATTTCTACTTACATTTATATGTAGTGATGTATGGAAAAATAGCCTGACTTTTGGAGGTATTAAAAGGTTGAAGTGAAAATAATAATACCCAAAAGTGTTCCGTGTATCTGAAATGCAAGCAATTTATTCAACACTGAAACAGAATGTAGGTGCTTACTTAACCTTTTAAATTCAAGAACATCAGCACTCTTTTTTTGGTTGTATTTACCTTAAATCTTTTGTTTAGTTGATCCTTCCATTTTTCAACTAGACATCCATCAAGAAGCATCAGCCTGAAAATTAAGAAATAAGTGTGAGTTACAGATAATTCTAGTTTTGAGTCCTGAGATGTCATTCCAGATGATTTAACATAGACTGAGGTTGAAATGAGCCAGCAGATACTGGCACTGGCAGTTTCTGCATATGGCAAGCTCGGCAGAAGGATGGGGCATATTTTCCCCATAAAAGGATTTCTAAATGCTTATACTAATACTTCTGAAATTCTATTCTAAGCTCCATAAAAATATAGTTTCCAAAACAAAAATCAGTTAGATCAAAATCACCTCAATATTTCAGATTTCCTCCAAAAAATCGCAAAATCGCCCTTCAGATTTTATAGCCAAAACAGTACTGAGAAAACATTCAGAGCTCTTTGTCCTCACCTGTAGTTACTCTGCAGGAGAAAACTGTCCTGTCTTGATCACTGGCAGTCAAAAATTACGGGTTGTATAACATGTCCTGTGAAACGCTTTACATTTCTTTATTATATATTTTTTGTAAGTATGTCTAATGTGTATGTGCGGGTGAAAAACTATTCTGCATATTATGGATATGGATATTATGGATTATGTTGACCTAAACCAGGAGAGCACTTAATGTGTTTTACTTCTGAACTGAAAAAAGGTAAGTTTCGTATGCACTAGCAAATACAGCTCAGCTGATGAATGGTAACGTGTTATCTGATCATTTGCAGTCATCCACATTTCTATTTACAAATGTATTATGAAGATATTTAAAGTGAATATTTTACAGTGAATTTAGAAAATGCACGGATGGTGATACTTGTCTACCAATGAAATTTGGCTAGCTCTTATATGAGAATCCTAGTCTAGGTGTTATGAAATGAATGAAACAAGTGTAACTATTACATAGTATATGCCTTAAAAAGCTTCTATTCTATTCTGTTCTGTTCGTTCTAAAACACTCTGATGTCACACCTTCTAGGTCCTAACCTAGAAACCGTTATTTTATAGCACAGGGATGCTGGAATTACTGTATCTCTTCTTACTGCTAACTAATTCCACAGGGGGTATTTTGTACGACAGTGGGCCTTAATATGTCCCAAAATCATTTCCCTGATTTTGAGAAGCTTTAATTAAGACATCAATGATGCCTGAAGAAATCAAAACATCGTTATATCTGTGCACAATTTCATATAGCACTTAGCTGGCAGGTGGGCTTTACACAGCATAGCAGGGCCTGACCCTCCAGTTTTCCTGAACAACGTTGTCATTCAAACCAGTTCAAAGAGAGTATGAAATACTGCCATCCCTATCCAGTAGCACTGTTATCCACTTTGCCCAAACATAAAATGACAACACTGAGTGCAAGCCCTGGAGAATCAGACAGACCAACATGACACACATCTCTTCTTTCCAAGGAGAGATCATAGAATAAACACATGGACTAAAGTTAAGGCCACATCATTATGAACGAAACCACAACATGGTGTATGTCTGATGCAGCTTCTGTTCAGGACAAATTACTGAGTGAAACCTTAACCCTACTGAAGGACAATGGATGTTTTGCCATCAGCTTCAGTGGAGCCAGAGCTTCCATCCGTTTTGTCTCTGACATTTTAAAAAGCCACTGTAATTCAAAACCTTCCGTTTACATACCACTGAGTTCAACAGAAAACACATACAATAGTTTTTGTTTCTTTCTGAAATCCATTTTAGTATACTACATGAAATAAAAACCTCAGTCACCTTTAAAAACTATCGCAAAATATTTGGTGATTGGTGTGTTTTTCCATAGTAATTGAGAAGCAGATTGTTATCTTTCACTTTTGAAATTCCCTTTCACTGACAACCTCCTGAGGAGCAACTGCAACAAAGCTCTGCAGCTCAGTGCTCCTGGACAGCGATCTCCGTCATGGTCCTTCCATGTCACTCAGTGCATTTTTCCCTAAAACGGGTAACACAAAGGGCTCTAAATTAATCTTTGTGAAATACTTCCAGATCTGGAGGGTAAGGGTGCTATGTGACAATAGCGTAGAATGTATTTTAGCTCACAAAAAGTTATGTGAATAAGGTATTCAAATGGTAGCTTTTAGAAACACCTATAAAATGCCTTTAAAATATCAACATTAGAAAGATGTAAAATATGGAGATGGCCCATCAAGATCTGTATGTAGATACTCTATGTTCCTTACAACTGCATATGTTCAATTAACAGTCATACTACTGTATGAAAAAACAGCTTGCATGTTTTACGAACAACCTTACCTCTGATCCATGGCACAGACTTACATGTACTTATCAGATATATAGCCTGTCCTGTTGGTGTCTGTGGCTGCTGGTGCATTTAGGGTGCTGATGGGGATGGGATGTTAACTTCTGCCTCAAGAACCCGTGAGGAAAATTATGCTTGTGATTCACCATTCCCTCTCCTCCCCGAGATCAGCATGCTGGATTTCCTTCCATGCCTGGGGCTAGGCTGACTGCCAGTTTAAAGGTCTGGTAAAGTTAGTTTTTGTTTGTTTGTTTGTTTTTAATCATACAGCAAAACTGGCAAGATGCTCTGTGAGTATTTACTTTTCACTGGCCATCTGGGAGCCAAAGCTCCCGTGGCTGCAGCTTTGGCTGGTCCTAGTGCAGTTGTGCAATCAGAAACATCTTGCTGATGGCATCGATCTGAAGTACAGATAGGCTGAATGAGAAGGACTGCCTATGTCTCCCGCAGCTCTGCGGACTCCCTCATCTCCTTTCCCCACCCCTAAGGTCAACAAGGCAGAAATCTGCCTTCCTTGGAAAGTCTGGTGGAAATGAAAGGAGCCCTGACTTCACAGCCACCACCAGCCTCGTAGTACGTGAAGCACTTCGTACCTGTGGAAAACAGCCCTAGAAAAACACTCCCAAACAGCTGGAGATGCCTGAACTGCTGCACAACATGTGAAGCAGCGTGCCTAATGGCACCAGGGTTTACGCTCCGTGTGAGAGCCAGGTGTAAATACCACACTGTGGGTCAGAGCCCAGGTTGATTTTTAAGTGCAAAAATGAATTGTAAAGGTAATTGAAACACTGAGTTCTATGTGTGGGTTATCTTAAGAAAAACAATCAGTGGTATAATATTAACTATAGGCTCACAAAATATATTCATGGACAGAAAGGGAGCTTTGCCTCTTTCTCTTCTCTTATGGCTATAATGCTTTTCTGAAATACGTAGCAAGGGCTCACCTTGAACGCCATTCGTAACACATGATGAGAACATCCTGCTTTGGCTGAAGAGGTGGACACTGGCAGGAAGAATTTGTAAGAAGAGGCACTTGAGACAGAGGAATAGGCATCGAAGACTTAAGTATGTCTTTTACTTCAACCACAGTCGTTATCTCGTTGCAGTTCCCTCTTTCTACACTTTTTACTTTAGCATGAATGACTGCAATTAGAAAAACAGAGGCATAAGAACACCACATTGTATTAGAAACTTAAACACGTCTTAAAACTAAGAAAATGTCCTAAATTGGAAGCTGTTGTTTTGGTTGTGAATCTAGAACTATTTCTTCATGTGTGGGCATGTACAGTGGCTTAGAGTAACAAAGGCATGGTCCTGATTTGGTTTTCAGTAGGACTGTTGACAAGTGTGAAATTAAACATGTGCTTAAAGCTTTGCCAGAGCAAGCTGGATGATCTAGCCTAGAATTGCACACACACCACACACATGGTTCCTTTGACTCAGACTTGAACAACCCCTCACATAAATCTAGTAGCTAGTTCTATAGCTACATGTTGCTATTTCCAATTAAGTAATAAATAATTTACCTCACAGACAGTTAACATGAATGCAGTCTTTTCAATGATAAAATCGTTTCACTGCAGTGTGCATCCAGGAACTAAAGTCTCCTCTTAAATGTAAAAAAGAAAGGAAGATTTGAAATAAGGAGTCAGAAACTAAGAGACTTGGGATTTTTATGATGGTTAAAACTTTTTCTTTTGCCTTTTCTGAGAGAAGCTAATTATTGGATCATGTTTCAGTAGTGAAGATTCCCAAATAAAATAAGTTCTGAAAAGCGTTCTTCTGATTCTGAATATAAAGTATTCACATTTTTATCTCTTACTGAGGAAAACTTTATGCCTACAGGGTTGTAAGAAGGCGAGGTTCTACAGATTGCTCTGAGGATGGTATCTGACCAATTTTCTACCCGAGAAGCCTGGAGGTATCTACCACTGTACTATTTTACACATTTTTTCTTTCTTAAGTCCCTGTGCTGTTTCTTAAGAGAAACGAAGCCAGATTTTTGCATGAAGGACTTTGTCTCTAGGAAATATCAGAATTAGAAGGGTCCTACTATCAAACTATCAAGAAATCCTTCTGTGAAATTAGCAATGTCTATGCTTCAGCTCTGAAAGCCGGGTTCTGTATTTCTGCATGCACAAAGTCCTGTCAATAGCATCAGGAACTTTGAGTGAGAAGGGAACGAATGATTAGGCACCAGTCAGTTTTGGTTTTTTTTTTTTTTTCATGGAGTTCAACATGAAGATTTAACAGCAAGTGGAGGAAAGCCACAATCACAGAGGTTTTGAAGGAAATAGCAAAATACAGGTGTCCTTTTTCTCTTCCTTACTATGTACGTCAAATGCAGCCCCATTCGGCATAGAACATGGTGTGATCAGCTTGCAGTCCCTTGCGCTCTCCAGGTCAAAGGCATTCAAATGCATTTCTAAACATTTGGAATAAATTTCAAATGTAGAGAAAAATAGGACACCAGCAATTCTAATGCAGGCTGGGCTTTACGTGCTAACCTTATCAAGACATAAATAACAGCTACAAAATGCATTAGGGAGTTCAGTTTTAGAGACTCCCAACCCATTTTTAAGTGCTATTGAAACCAAACAGTACTTCAGCTCCTAAACAACAGGGAAACTTTTGAAAATATTTACCCATCATATTTGCATGAATTTTAGTTGGAATTTGCTTTTCAGCGATCGGTGCAGATGTTGACCTAGTACTGTAAGCATAAAAGATAACTGTTGCAATGAATGACTTAGGAAAACATTATAAAATTATAGGTATGGTTATAGTTATGTTTATTAGCTATAAGCAGGCTATGATTCTCATGTTTTTAACAACTAAGAAAGAGTTCTAACCAGCCGGAAATACAATTTGGTTGTCTATATTATTTTAAAGGACATCAGGAAAATTTGGGTTTTATTTGTTCTGCCTTGTCTCGTCTCCCAGTCCATTTTCTATATGAATATGTCCATTTATTTTAGAGGAGGCTGAATAAAAATCTGCTTCTCAAAAACAAAACCTTGATTTTACAAACTCAATGGAATTAAATCGTTAAAGCTTTTCTAAATCTGGGATCCCCACCTGCGGTTTTTGTTCAGGCAACACTTCCACTGAAGTCACTGGAATCAGAACTTGTATGGCTAACACCTCTATTTCAGTTCAGAATTGTCATTTTATATCACTTCTTTTTCATATATTTCAGACAAGTGTGGAAGTTCATTGTTCCCCCTGAACTATCGTTCTTGGTGTACTGAGATGGATTAAGGAATTACATAAGAAGAATATATCCTATAAATGCACCAAAATGCCACGACAAAATTAGCTTTCTAAGTTAGACGTTCAGTTTGATCATTCCCACCAAACTGGCTAGGATTTTTTTTTTGGGGTACTAACAAAGAATGAAGCAAATAACTACAAACTTACTTTCATTTGATATCAGACTAATAGGAATTTAAATGTCTGTTTTGACAGGATATAATATCCCTATTGTATAAGAAATGAATACATCCCTTGAAGAAACAACTTTTCTCTGAAAAAAAAAGCCCTTAAACTGCAATAGACCATGATATTACATGTTAAATGCATAGTTTATAATAGAGATTTTCTATTGACAGTACAAAAGTTTAATCTGGCATTGATGTCACCTTACTTAGCTTTCTTCCTGGCTCCTGAGGTCGGAAATCCCAAGGGTCAGGATGTGTGTGGGGCGGGAGAGGGATGAACGCTTACTTGCATTGCCGATATGTCATACAACATATCATAAAACTATTGGCCAACTCACTGGCTGGCTGGTGTAAATTATCATTGAATTCAGTTAATCTATGACAATTCTCCCCCAGCTGAAGCTCTGGCTGGTAAGTAAAAGATAGAATATAACCATTTGTAAACGATAAAGTTACTTTTCAAGTATTTTATGAGGTTGCTTCAACTTCATTCACAGCTACCAGTTTTATTTAGGTGAGAGCTGCAGAATGCATGTGGTAAGTAAATCCTGGCTTATTCCACCTGCTGAAGGAAAGCGGGAGCCAGCTAGCACGTGGTCGCGCTTGCATTAAATCCCGTGGCATTAATCAGGTGTGACCGTTACACTAGCAAGCAACATTTCTGCTGAGCAACCTGTTGGTCACAGCGCGTTTTACTGACTTTTTACTGTTTTTATCACAAAAGCACTATCATCCACACGGTGACTTTTACTGCCTGCACTAGTAGTCAGTTTTGGAAGAGGAAGATCAAATGTGTGAGACTTTGAAAGGCTGAGGTGCAGCAGTGCCCTGACGCCGGACAGGGGCTGGGACCTGGTGCAGCACCCTGGCAGGAGCCACTTAAATTGCAGGTGAGGGTGGTGTGGGGCACAGAGGGGGGCTTGGGCAGGAAGGGGGAAATGAAATTACTTCCTTCATTAACTTACTGTAGCTGTAGTTCTTGGTCAAATAGGTCGACAGCGTAGGCTTTATCTTTTTGCACCTGCATCGCTCTTCGAAGGAAGGGAAGAGGAGACGGTTAAAGGGTGTCGGCGAGGGACTCGCCTGCCCGGGGGGGAGTCACGAGAGGGGCGCCCGGGGCTCACCCTGGTTTCGGCTCTTGCACTCGGGCTCGGGGGGGCTCCCACGCACCATCAC